TAGGGCTCGTCCATAAATGACGTCACCCTCGTAGGGTGGAGGGGGTTCCGTAATTTTGTGACGGTATGTGATGTGGGGGAGGGGGGGGGGGGGGGTTCAGATAATGCGATGTCACACTTTGCATTATAAAAAAGCAATAATAGAAAATGAATTTTAGATGGTTTTTTGCTTTTTAGAAAACAGTTTTAATAAATTGCAATAGGAATTGATTAAAACATTATATTTTTACAGCGTTCAGACAAGATTTTGGAAAAAATGTCGATGTTTTAAGAAAAATTCAACTACAATTTCGAGGGGGTTTGTATGCTGAGGTGTGACGTTATGTTAGGGGTGGTGGCTTTTTGTGACGATGTGTGACGGAGGGGAAGTGGGAGGTAAAAATCGTGCAAAAAGCCTGACGTCATTTATGGATGACCCCATATAAATATTATACTATATATTCTATTTTTTATATATATATATATATATATATATATATATATATATATATATATATATATAAAGAGATAGAGATAGGTAAAAAGAGGATAACGTAAGGCTCGCGTTTAACGTTTTGTTTTAAATTTTAATGCACAAACACGATGCATCATCAATTGTGAAAGTCACACTTCAGAACTGCATTGGTTTGAATGTATGAAAAGCAAGCATTCAGTGCCGTGTGTGCCCGCAAATTATTGTTTTACAAATGATTGCTGGACTACCCTCGTCCAGCTTTTTGAAGCAATTTGAATTCACATTAATTTACAATTCTTTTTTATTTCTAATTTTATTTATTTGCAGTAGACAGATCGCATGGTTTAAGTTCACTGTATCACATGATCAAGATGTTACAAAATAGTGTGATGACTAAAAAAGGCAAAAATGTTGACGTGTTACATATGGCTGCTGAGGTAAGAAATGTTAAGATCACTCCTTACTTAACTACTACACTAGCTGAAGGGTAGGTAATGTGAGTTACTATCACAGCCTAATTAGACAAAACCTAATAGTAAATGGGAAAAAAAAGAAAATTACTGATATTAATTAAGCTAAACTTTAATGAATAAAGTAACACTTTAATATATACCCACCTGTAACTGATAGTCTCAGTGTTATTATGTTGCATGGGTCCAACCTTAAAATTGTTATGTTATAATATCACATTTAATTTAATCATGTAATTTGTTCTACCTAATAACGGCAATAGCAAATACATTTCTACTAGGTAACGAGAGCAATGAATGGTTTAAGAATAACATACTGCAAAAGTGGTAAAGATAGAACCTCAATGGCTGTTACTTTAGAGATGGTTCATATACTACAAAGAAATCACAATCTTGCTTCCCATGTGTTTATGCAATCGTTAGACTGCTTGCGCAGGTAGTAATTTCAATACTTTTTTTTTAAAGTTTTTATTTTGTTCACAATGTCTGTTTATTTGTTTGTGGCAAATCTTGAAAATTAACTCAATTTCAACCTACATTCAATTGCATTAATTTCATCTCAACCTTTCAGAAAAATTCGTCTCCGATGACAATGCAATAATATCTAATTTTTAATCAAATTAGACAGATCAATTATTAAAATTTAATTAAAAGATGACCTAATTCAATGATAGAGCGGGAGAAAGAATTTAAAAGATAAATCGGGAGCGATCTCCCCTAAACTTTCTCGAATATTCTTATATAACAATACGGGGGATGGCAACTCTGGGTATAGACAATAGTTTTAATCCATTTTTAATTACTTAAACTTTTAAAAATAGAATAGAATCTCGTAGAAAAAAAGAATTGCACACCAAATGAATGCCAAAAAAAATGTGTATAATAGTGCTAAATATTATTAGTGCTTTATAAATTCACATGCGTTTTTTGTTGTTGTTTTTTTTTTAAATCGGAGATAGCGTAAATTACTACTTCCGGTCAACTGAAATTACTCAAAATTTGACAGATGGCAGAGAAATATATATTTTACTTACATGTGCAATTTTATTTATGTATCTGAAATAGTACCTAAGTTATAGGCTTTCGGAAATCGCTAAAAAGTTGATACAGATCTACGCACAGACATTCGGACAAGATTCCAAAACTATGTTTTTTCGACTCAGGGAGGTGTAAAACGTTGAGATTTGCAAAAATCTCGATTTTTTTTTTTTTTGTTGCGCGATTGCAATACTTTCTCAATACTTCGTATACGATTAAGTAATAAGAGGTCAGTGAACTTTTGGTCGCGGCTGATTGGTAACCTGCCTAAGTGTCGACCACGAACTAAGAAGGTGAAGATAATTGTCTTTTAAGAGATCGCAACCTACTAATAGGGTTTTTAAATATATATATATATATTTAGTCGTATGAGGTGTCGACTTAATTTAGAACGAATTACTTAAAAGTAGAAAGGGGTCATCCATTTATGATGTCCACAAAAATTTGGAATTTTTTACCCCTTTTTGTACTTTCTCGTATATACGAAGTATAGAGAAAGTCTTGTAATCGTGCACAAAATCACATGAAATTTTGACAGTTTTCACCGTTTTACACCTCAGTCCTTCTTCACATCCGGAGTATAGAGGACTTATTTTAATCAGGCAAAAATTATAAATACAAATATATAAAATTTTTGGCGTTTTATGCGTTATCGAGTCGGAAAAACTGGGCTTTGTAATTCTGTCCGTATGTCTGTGTGTCTGTACACACGATAACTTGAGTACCGTTACAGATAGGTTGATGAAATTTCATATATAAGTATTTTATCAAAATCGTAGATCCCTATCAACTTTTGAGCGATTTCTGATAACCGGAAGTGGTACTTTTTTTACTTTGAATTTGTCAAAAGCCTCTTACTTGAGTACTATTTCAGATAGTTAAATGAAATTTCACATGTAAGTAAAAGATCTAATTCTCTACCTTCAGTCAAATTTTGAGTAATTTCCGTTGAACGGAAGTACTAATTTACGCTATTTCCAATTTCTCAAAAACTAATGTAAATTTATAAAGTACTAATAATATTCCGCACTATTATGCACATTTTATTTGGCGTTCACAGGTGTGTATTTTCTTTTCTACGAGATTTTATTCTATTAAAAAGTTTAAGAATTTAAAATGGATTAAAATTCACGTCTATATCCCGAGTTCCCATCCCCTGTTTTTAGCGCAATTTCCATTCTGGAGAATTGCGTTTATTAACCCGTCATTTCTGGATGGATGGATGGATGAATGTATGGATGTGTGTCCGCAGCTTTAAGTCGTATCTCCTCCTCAACGAAGCAATATCGATGACTAGTTACAAAAACAATTATGTTAAGCAAGTTACGAGGATGAACATAGGCCATAAAAATTCCGGGTTTCTTTCATGGATTTCCCGGAAAAGCCAAAAAACCTCGAAAAAATGCAGTTTTTGGCCCATATCTCGGCAACCAGACCACTTAGCGACTTGAAACATGTACCAATCGATTCCTGCCATAATTTAGAACAATATTGCTGAAGAAAGTTTTCAAAAATATCCTTTCGTTTGGTCACAAAAAATGTTTGAATTAATTAAAATTTGGACCGAATTAGTAGGCATTTTATGCAACCACACCACACGCGTCATCACGTTCAATAGCTGCGCCATCACGTTCAATGGCTGCGACGTCACGTTCGGTAGCTGGGCGCGCAATGGTTTTTAGTCATGTTACTCTATTGTAAATAAAACATGTAAAATACTGAAAAAAAAATTAATAAAAAACGTTTTAATAACTAACCAATGGTTTTACTAACCCTGCTCTTGATTTACGCTACGACAGAGCTATTTTTAGATAACACAAGGAAATTGCGCTAAAATTGTCACTAGACTTTTTTTAATTACTTGTTTTTATATAAGAATATTCGAGAAAGTTTAGGGGAGATCACTACCGGTTTATTTATTTTAGTTTAGGGGAGATCGTTCTCGGTTTATTTTACATGAAATAATTATCATTAAAAAAGTTTTTAAAAACCCACGTTTTCTGATTGAACTAAAAAGTAGAAAATAAATGCTATACATCACAATAATGCAAGCGATCACTCTACTATAAGCGATCTCAAACTGTGATAATTATTTTCTACTTTTTAGTCTTTGTCTGTTTGTTTGCATTCAAATCTTGCTATCAATTTTATCTTCTCGCATTCACTTTTTTTTGGGTAAACGAAGACAACTCGTAAAAAACACGTGGCTTTTCCAATCGACGTTTCTTCTGTGTTGCCGTTTCTTTCACCATTTTGCCCTCGCAAGCAAACCATTCGACCATCAACATTCTACTTCCTGATCAGTCAGATTTGCATAGGTTTGTACACAAACACCGCGTGACCACTACTCAGCCAATCGCGTGCTCGCTCCTTCAGTAAGCCTGAAGAGGGAAAGTACCGAACCTTGTTCTCATCAAATTACAATTACTGGGTTATGTCCCTTTTTTGGTACAAATCAATAGGAGTCTAAAATGATCAATAAAAGTTTTCCATGGATCAATTTAGTAATAATAATAATTAAATATTGTATTGTCATCGGAAACAAAGCTTCTCTGAAAATTTCAGCGCGCTAGCTAACTGGGAAGTGCCCGAAATTTCGATCGCAAGATTTGATTGGAAAAACAAACAGACGCGAAAGCAAGTTAAAGAAAACGTGGGGGAAAAATGACTAGATCTACATCATTTTAGGCCTTGACACAAAAAAAAGATTGTAGGCCTACTACGATTTAGTTTCAATTGTTTGAAATGTTTAAAAATGAACTTGAAATACCAATAATTGTTTTTAGAAAAGTGCCTCGGTCAATGACCCTTTCTCAATTAAAAAAAATCGCTTTTTTTCTTTGGCGGGCGGTATACAGCTACATTTCTGATACAGTTAACACAAGAACTGCTGACATGATTTATAACCTACATTTTATGTGCTTTTTAAAAAATTTAAATTATTTTCAAATGTACGTATTTTGTTTAATTCAACATTGACCCGAACCCCCCCCCCCTCCCAGTACACACGCATCCACAAAAGTCGATTTTCTGTTAACATTTGTCGAAATAAATTACACATGGGGATGTTTCTGCAAAAATATCTTTTTTAAAATTTCGCAGGGGCGCCCAGGGAGGGTGCGCTTTTTCTCTATATACGGAATATACAAAAAAAGTAAAGTCGGATGCGGTTCGACAACGTTCATCCGAGTGCCATGAAACTTTGGGGTGTTGATGAGAACATCTCGAGAAGGTTTCTGCTAAATAAAAAAAATGAAATTGATTAAGGGCGGCGCCCGGGAGGGTGCGATTTTTCCCACGTTTTCTTTAACTTGCTTTCGTCTCTGTCTTTCCAATCAAATCTTGCGATCGAAATTTCTGGCACTTCCCAGTTAGCTAGCGCGCTGAAATTTTCAGGGAAGCTTTGTTTTGGATGACAATAGAATATTCAATTGTTATTATTACTAAATTGATCAATGGAAACATTTTATTGAGCATTTTAGACCGCTATATAATCTATATATATAATTCTCCTCTGCGAGCCGTTAGAAAACAAGCTGCAAGCGCCTCCTTACAGTCCCCTCTCTTTCTCTCTACCACTATTACTACCACCCTACCCCACCCCCACATGGTCTGCTGAGCTGTGGTCACGTTAATGTTTACAAACCAGGTTTAGTGACGGCTATTAGGGGCAGATAATTAAGTTTGAACCGACTTTAAACTTACATGAGGTAACTAAGAGGAGTCTGCTTTCACAAATAATGAATTACTGGAAGTAGAAAATAAATCAACTAAATAGCGGCGTATGATACGCCGCGGGTCGGCTCGTTGTAGTAAAAACGTGGGGGAAAAGGGACATAACCCAGTAACTGTAATTTGTGTACAACCAACCGTAACAACTGGTGGCCAGTATGGGGGAGACGATATGGTCGAGTGGTTGGGCACACGATTGCTATCCCACTCGACACGGGTTCAAATCTATGTGTTCTAGTCAGTAACGTATTCACACAACGTGTTTTTTACGAGTTGTCTTTTTACGAGTTGTCTTCGTTTACCCAAAAAAAGGTGAAAAGATAAAATCGATAGCAAGATTTTAATGCAAACAAACAGACAAAGACTAAAAAGTAGAAAATAATAATCATTTAAAAAGTTTTTAAAAACCCACGTTTTCTGATTGAACTAAAAAGTAGAAAATAAATGCTATACATCAGAATAATGCAAACGATCACTCTACTATAAGCGATCAAAAACGTGGGGCGCCGAAGTAAAAGTTATATTACTATTGATTAGATAATACTATTGACTTTTATTAGGGAGCTTGTAGAGAGTCAACAGTATTAGAAACTGTAAGAAAATCACAGCGCCCCAGGTTTTTGATCGCTTATAGTAGAGTGATCGCTTGCATTATTGTGATGTATAGCATTTATTTTCTACTTTTTAGTTCAATCAGAAAACGTGGGTTTTTTAAAAACTTTTTTAATGATTATTATTGTCAATACAAGTTTTGGCGCACAGAGTTCCAAAGCGGCTATCTTAGCACTTGGTATCCGTTAATCGTATGTCCTGCATTGTGAATAAAAGGTACTACTATATTCTGCGTCAAAACTTCAACAGGCGCAGCCGCCGGCGCTTCGTCTATTACATCATGGCGCCTGAGTTCATTTTTTAAAATGGCTATACACCAAAAGACATCATGGACAGGATTCCTAGTTAACGGATACCAAGTGCTAATATAGCCGCACTGGAACTCCATTTATAAATGTATATATATATATATATATATATATATATATATATATATATATATATATATATATATATATATATATATATATATATATATATATATATATATATATATATATATATATAACGGAAGCCTATTTGTCGGTAGCCTAAATGACGGGAGCCTATTTGTCGGGAGCGTATATGACGGGGTCCATATGTCGCTGGCCCTTTTGACGGGGCCGATTTGACGGGGTCGTTTTGACGAGGCCGTTTTGTCGGGGTCGTTTTGACGGGGCCGTTTTGTCATTGGCCGTTTTGACGCCGCACGCATATAACATCGTGCGGCGTCAATTCGGCCAATGACGAAACGGCCCCGTCAAAACGACCCCGACAAAACGGCCAGCGACATATGGACCCCGTCATATAGACGCCCGACAAATAGGCTCCCGTCATTTAGGCTACCGACAAATAGGCTCCCGTTATATAGGCTCCCGACAAAGGGGCTCCAGTCAATAAGGCTCCTGACAAATAGGCTCCCGTCATTTAGGCTCCCGACATATAGGCTCCCGTCATTAAGTTTTTTTCCACAAAACGGCCCCCGTCATTTTGGCTCACGACAAAAAGGCTCCTGTCAATTTGGCTCCAGACAAAAGGACCACTGACAATACCGTTTCTGTAGAGACTAAGTCTCCCGGCAAAGCGGTCTCATTGAATATGACACCTGCCAGTGGGTCACCTTCATCAACATTCTTTAGAGTTAGCTTATCCAACACTCTTATGTAATACAACCAGGGGCGGAACTACAGTGCCGCCAGACACCGCAATGCGGGGGGGGGGGGGGGGGAAGCCCTTTAGGGGCCCACAGCCGACCATAATTTAAAAAAATGTATAGTTAAAAATATAATTTTCTTGCATTTTTAACTTGATGGTTGTTATGTAAAAAGATTACTATAGCTGCGATTGGATTATCTATTCTATAGACACCACCCCACGCTCTTGTATTCTTTTTCCCTTTTTTTTAAACCACTATGAAAGCCGAGTCCTCTTTCTCCTACAATCAAACTTATCAAAGATAAGTAAACGTTCAAACCACTTCCATTACATATTTCCCTTTTTTAAATAGTCAAATAGGGGTGCTCATAAGCTCCTTTAAATAGATTTGCACTAAACAAATTAAAAAGTAATTACTTCTCTTAATGATTTTTTTTTATTAAGTACTTACCAAAGAATGACGTTGTGCAGAACGGAAATGCATTTAAAATTAATAATATAAATACAAAAAAACAACATAAAAATAAACATAAAACGAGACACCATAACTTATACAAAGCTTTCATGTTTCATATACTTTTGACCGACTAGTGATTAAGAGATCAGATAGCAGAGATAAAATAATCTAAATATTTAAAACAGACTATTGCACTTACACACATGACATGTAATTCGCTTAAATTGAAAAAAAAAAAAATTATTTTTTCAAAACCCGAACAGGCCAGCAATGAGAATCCTATGTTCTTATTGTGTGTTTGTATATATATATATATATATATATATATATATATATATATATATATATATATATATATATATATATATATATATATACGAGAAAATTGGCCCGTTGAGGAAGGATACAACGGGCTTTAATTTATACAAAATATAGTCATAGGCATATCCCTAAACCATGCACCTAATCTCATTCACGACAAAAGTCGCATTTAGAGTTTCTTTCAGGCAACTCTACTTGGGAGGAGGGGGCTTTGCCCCTCCCCCCCCCCCCCCCCCCCCACACACACACACCAAAACATGTCTACCGTTCCATTCAACGATAAATATTTATAATATATACTTTTTCCAGGTTCCGCCCCCTCCCAGAAAATTCTACCCCCGCCCCCGAAAATTTCAAGTACCCCCACCCCTCTCCCTGGGGAGGAAAAAGTCTGAAAGAAACACTGGTCGCATTTGTAGATCATACAAACTAAAGGAAGAATCTGGGCGGGGCTTCGCCCCTACCGGAAGAGATGCTTGAAAAAAAAAACTGCACGCTAAACACTTTTTAGATTAGAAAAAGTTCCCCCCTCCGGGGAGGAAAAAGTCTGAAAGAAACACTGGTGTCGCGCTTAGCCACTACCCGAAGAATTGCATGAAACCACTTTTTAGATTAGACACATTAATTAGGCGGTAATTTTATTATAGAGTATCGATGAAGAAATTTCTTTTGAGTTGGGGAGGGGGCTTAGACGTTCTTGCGCGGAGGTGGGGCTTCGCCCCTACCCGAAGAATTGTATGAATGAAACTCTCCACGCAACCCACTTAGATTAGACAAAATTGCCTTTTTATTCAATGTTTACTCGAGAATCAATGACGTCATATTACTGTGTGACTCTTTGGCTTGATATTATTTTCTACTACATGCTGAATATGACGTCATATTTCGTTTTCGTTTCACTGTGAAAGTTTTTAAATTGCTTGTGTTTTCTCTATAACGTTCTTGTCAGATAGTTAGATAGATAGATAGAAAGATAGATAGATAGATAGATAGATAGATAGATAGATAGATAGATAGATAGATAGATAGATAGATAGATAGATAGATAGATAGATAGATAGATAGATAGATAGATAGATAGATAGATAGATAGATAGATAGATAGATAGATAGATAGATAGATAGATAGATAGATAGATAGATAGATAGATAGATAGATAGATAGATAGATAGATAGATAGATAGATAGATAGATAGATAGATAGATAGATAGATAGATAGATAGATAGATAGATAGATAGATAGATAGATAGATAGATAGATAGATAGATAGATAGATAGATAGATAGATAGATAGATAGATAGATAGATAGATAGATAGATACATAGATAGATACATAGATAGATACATAGATAGATACATAGATAGATACATAGATAGATACATACATAGATACATACATAGATACATACATAGATAGATAGATACATACATAGATAGATAGATACATACATACATACATACATACATACATACATACATACATACATACATACATACATACATGCATACATACATACATACATACATACATACATACATACATACATACATACATACATACATACATACATACATACGTACATACGTACGTACATACGTACATACGTACATACATAGGTACATACATAGGTACATACATAGGTATATACATAGGTACATACATAGATACATAGATAGACATACAGCGAAACTATTATTATAGATATATATATGGGGGGGGGGGCTAAAAATATTTTTGCGGGGTGGCCCATTTTTTCTAGTTCTAGTTCCGCCACTGAA